GGTACCACAATTACCTGACTACAAATGGAGGCCTCCAGAACCTCAATGGTCCACAATACCCATGAGCTCAGAACACTAGACTAGAAAGCGCTCTGGGCCTTCTTTTGTGCCAGGAATCCCTGTGACGGTCACGGACCAGGAGAAGCCCATGCACCCCCTCCAAATAATGTCCCCAAATGCATGACGCAAAACACACAGGATTATAAAGGGATTATATTGGAATACATTATCAAACTATTTTTTTCATTGTGGTATAGTAACAGGTATGCTCTTTAATTAATGAGTTAAAAGACAAGACCTACCAGCGGATTGAATAAATATCATAATTTTGACTTAGTGTTGCACATAAACAGTATTTTGGAATCCCCGTAACAACTGTAATGGGACATGAAAATATCTGTGATTTCTATTGGTAAAAAAGCCACTTCCTCATTACTGTGGCTTGCTGCCTACAGTCACAATGAAAGGAAATGTTAAATTTCAGTTCGAGGCTAGTGTAGACATTTCTCCCAGCCAAGTTCATAGGATCCACCGCATTCTATCTACTAGCTCTTTGGGGGGGCCTGTGGGCTACGCTGGTGTTCAAAGCAGGATCTCAGTCACAGGGCTAGCCAGCAGGGCCCCGCTCACCCTGACTTCTGTCCACCCATGTTCCGCCTAGTCGCCCACGCCAGGAGACCCCTGATGTCAGAAACGGTCTGCAAAGGCGGTCCAACTCCCCAAGACCCCTGCAGCCCCGCCCACCCAGGTGTGACTCTCAGGTGCCCGCCCACCCGCGCATGCGCCTCGGCACAGGTGCAGGTCTTACCTACGGCGGGGAACGGCACAAATCTCTGGACAAGAAGGCGGGTGGCCGGGGTGAACTTGTTGGCTTTCTGAACCAGGACATTAAGGCCCACCTTCGGAAGAGAGAGAGAACGTGCGTGCGTGGTGCTGCAGGGGCCTGGCAGGCTGGGGCAGGAGCAGAGAGTGAGCGGCACTGTCTGCCCGGACCCCAAGTCTTCAGCGTTGCCTGCTGCCACCCGGCCCCAGTGCCGCCATGCAAAGCGTCACATGGCCCACTCATCCCAGTTAAGCAGCCTGTGAGGGAGGCTGAGGGGAAAGCCTCAGACCTCTCAGAGAAGAGAAGAAGAAATGCTGCTGTTATCAGAGCACAGAATCGGCAAGTAAATTAAGTGTGGGAACCCTCATTCTCACCTCAGCCTCTGAGCACCTACTTTCTCAGGCCCCACTGTGGGCTCAGGCATGGTCCTAAGCACCAGGGCTCAGGAGGAGATCCACACACGTGCCCACAGGTGACTGCCGAGCTAAGCTGAGCAGAGGCCGGAGCAGGACAGGGCGCGGTGCACATCCCCGGCTCATGCCCTCTTCACTTCGACCCCAGCCCCCCTACCTCAGCCTGAGACACTGGAGTCCCTCTTGCCTTCACCTTGTGCACTCCCTACTCCGTTCTGTCCCCCATGCTGTCCTTTGTCCTTCTAGAACACAGGTCCAACCACATCTACCACGACCAGCTCTTCCCCATGACCTGTGTGAAAATATGCGATCTCCTTCAAGTGGCTCCCCTACCTTCTCCTTCCGGGAATCCAGCTTACTGCTCGCCAGATGCTATGGGAGCTTTTCGGCCTTGGGGGCCTTTGCCCATGCTGGTCCCGATGGCCCGAATGCCTTCCTTCTCTACCCAGTCCACATCTGTTCCATAAGGCCCACCTCTGAGCAATCCTTCCAGTGACTTTCTAATAGTGGGAGTCACTGAACTGTTCCCTGCCTCAGTGTCCTTGTCTGTAGAAAGGGATGGTAATACCGACAGCATCCCAGGGCTGCTATAAGAATGTATGTCTAGTGTTTAGCATGAGCTTGGGGCATAAGAAACCTCAATGAATGAAGCTGTGTAAGAAGGTCGCCTCTCCCGGGCAGGAAGTTGCATCCTCTTGCTTCCTGAGTCCCTCCTCCCCAGCACACACTGCTCCTGCTGGACTGGGAGGGGGGGACCATGCCTTTCTCATCTTTGTACGACCAGCACTCAGGACAATGGCAGGCATGTAGTACTTGCTCAGTAAACGGGACTGAGGAATACATGCACGAACCAACAAACAGATGAATGGATGGAGATCAGCAAAGGCTGGAAGGGGAGTTGCTTGGAGGAGGGAAAGGTGGGTTATGCAGAGCAGAAGAAAGAGAATTGTGGAGGGGAAAAGAGCACAAGCAAGAGCACAAGCACATGTGGCATAGAGACAGAAAAGGCGAGATGCACGTGGCCAGACCAGAAACGGGTGTAGAGAGGCCGCTTCTCCCCCAAACGGAGGCCAGAGCTAGCCCCCACCCTGTAGATCTTTCCTGGGAGGAGGGGCAGCAGGGGCTGCTGTAGGACTGCTGGACTAAGGAGGCCTAGGGCAGCCAGCTCTCAGCGTGGGCTCACCTGGTAGCTAGCAGGCCACCATGCACCTACAGCCCTGCCTCTGGCCTTGACCTTCCAGGTCACTGGAGAAGATGCAGAGCCTGGGGAAGGCCTCCAGGGCGGCAGGGTGACTGCGGCAGTCAAAGCAAGAATGGTGCAGTGACCTGGGCAGACAGGAAGCCCAGGGCCCCATGGAGCTAGAATCCAGCCAGGCAAATCCAGCTTGGGCTCCTGGGGGTCTGGTCTAGATTGGAAGCCTCGAGCTGCTATCCTCAGAGTCCAATTCTTGTGCTTTCTGCTTACTCAAGGAAAGGCTGGGAGGCAGGGAGATGTGTGGCGGCTTGGACATGCTTCCCTGGGACCACAGGGCAGGCTGGGGGGCTGCCGGCCCACACTAGGTCCTGCTGCCCTGCTTCCAGGCTGCCCTGCCTCGCAGATGGAGCTCAGCGAGTCCAAAGCTCCCCAGCTCTCTGCAGCCAGTGACTGTCTATTTCTGTGACCCCCCAACCCCCAGAGGCCAGGGCCCAGGTTCCTATAGAGTGCAGAGAGGGCAAGTGCAGAGGGAGGCAGGAGGACACACAGGCAGGTGTTGGTGGTGGGAGAAGAGGAGGAAGGGGGCAAAGGGAGGTGCCAGGCCATGAGCTGAGCACATTCCCATTAAACGTCTGAATTATACCCCCACCTCAAGACTTCTAGATAGGGCATGTTGCTTCTTTTCACAGATTCAAAGAAGTTCAGACGAGTTCAGAGAGGTTAAGGAACTTTACCTAAGGACTTACAGCTATTGTGAGGCATGCAAAAGTTCGATTTGAACTCAGGGGTCTGCTAATTTCAAAGGTTTGCTCTTAACTGTTGTTCTTTACTTGAAAAGTGTCTTCCATCTCAGGATGGATCTAAGGATCTAGATCTAAGGATCAAAGTTGCCTAAATGTCTGCTGTGTTTGCATAGCAAAATTGGCTTTGAAAAGACCAGCCTGAGGCTGCAGCCCAGAAGAGAGGAGGGCAGCCCCAGTCAGGGAAGATGGGGCCCTTGATCCAGCCCTGCCTGCACCCCCATCCCAGCTATAAAACAAAAGGCCCGAGTTCAAACCCCAGCCCAACCCCTATATTCTTTTAGAAAAAGCAGGAGCCCTCCAGGAGGCCACCAGGCAGCTGGGACATTCACCCTCTTGGGGACAAGCAGGGCTGGAGTGTAATGGAAGGATGAGGAATAGTGGCCACTGGTTGTAGCAAATACTCAGACTTGTCCTCAAGCCTTCCTACTAGGACTGGCACAGTCCAGAGTGAGTGTCCCAGCCTGTCTCCCCAACTCTGTGTGGGAGGCATGGTAGAAGGGGAGGAAAGAAGAGAAAAGAAATACCCAGATCCCAGATCTCTTCTGGCCTGCCCTTCCCCAAAGCCCACTGGGGTCTTCCCAACATGCTCATCGCTGAGCATGGCCAGCATGCCTGAACTGGGGAAGGGGAAGGGGACTAGCCAAGTGAGGAGACCAGGAGCTGGTGAGGTCATCCTGCTCACCCAACCGATGAGAGCCAGAGAGCAGGAAGGTGCAGATACAGGGAAGGCAAAGGGCCACTTCCCCCCAACTCCTGCCACAGCCCCCAACTCAGGCCTTCCTGTCCCAGCAGCTAGGATGGCCGCAGCCTGGGAAGGAACCAGGCTGGGCTGCACAGTGGGGTTGGGAGCCCGTCTGTGCTGATTCCTCAGGGGCCCTTTGGCCTGGAACATTTGGTGGAGCCCATTAAAATTAAAAAGCCAAGTGGCTGGTGGCTCTGAATGCCAGCTCATTTTCCCTGGCATGGTGGGTCCTGTTTAAGGGAACCAGCTGGCATTAATGGCACACAACTCATCACGAACAGCAGCTAGCAATCAGAAAAATCTGAGCTAATAATCGGGTTCGGGAAAGATAATGAGATATGGAACAATCACTGCTGAGGGTCCCCCGGGGTCTGTTTTAACAGCCTCCAAATAAGCCACAAAATAAAAATTAACCAAACAGGGGCTCCATTTTGGTGGAGAGGAAAACAAACAGGGTGTGGGTTTTACACATGACAGTCCCCTTGTGGTCAGCAGACAGGGGTCCCGGGAGAAGCAAGAGCCCAGGACCCATGGGACATCAGCAGTGGCCTGAGGAAGCCTCGGACCCTCTCTGGATAGTTCTCTCCAAGTCCTGGCTCCCAGGCCAGTGAATTTGCCGTGGGCAGCAGACAGGAGCAGAAGAGGGAAGATTGCTTCCTGAGAATCCCCAAGGTGGGGTAAGTGCCAACTAGCACCAAGAAGCAGACTGGGGTGGGGGCCTAGTGACACAAGATCTCCAGTGTCATGAGCTCGCTGATACATGTCCCCTTAGGCACCAAGGTCCTCCCCAGGCCAACAGCAGCCTCCTTTCTGTGAGGCCAGCGAGGAGATGTGGGATGGGGCTTGAGCAACGCATGCCAGCTCTGTCCTCAACTTCAGCCCGTGCCTGCAAACCCCTGCAGGACGCCTTTATCTAGAGGGGCTTCGGCCATTCTACCTTCACATGCCCCAGATCAAGGTTGCTTGCTCTCCCTCAACCACCCTCTGTCCTCTTCAACTCCCAGCAACAACTCACGCCCGAAACCCAGGAATCTTCCTGGACAGAGGGTGTCCCCTCCCTACATGCAGCCCAGTGTGCGAAGCTGATCTGAACGGGACGCCTTCTCTCTGCTCCGGCCACTTACCATTAAGCACCCATCTCTTCTCCCTGGACAGCGGTCCACTTCCTGACTTGCCCCCCACCGCCCCGCATTCCGCTCTTGCTCCCTCCAGTCCACTCTCTACACAGCAGCCAGGACGGTCTTCTAAAGATGGGTATCCATCTGCTTTAGCCTTTCAGGGGCTGCTCACTGCTCTCAGAGACCCACAGGGCCCTGCCTGCAAGGCCACAGCCACCTTGCCTTGCCCTACTCCTCCCATGAGCCAATTCTCTTTCTCCTTCTCTTCCTCCCACCCTCCCTCCCTCCTTCCCCGCCATCACCTCTCCTCCCAGTACCTTCAAGCGCTGCTGGCCTCAGCCTCCTCACCTTTCAGCTTAAATGTCAGAGAGGCCTCCTCTTCACTCGGGGCACCCCTCTTGCAGCTTTCCACAGAACCCAGACCTCTTCCTACCCTGTCCCGATCACAGTCTTGTGATTTATATTTGTTCACCTCCTCAAAATGTTGGGACTCAAAGTAATACATGTATCTTGTTAAAAAAAACTGAATAGCACAGAAATGCTTTTACCTATGGCCTTTTTACTCTCCCAGTAGGTCCTAAGCACTGGGCGCAGGGCCCATGTCTCTCTTACTCCTTACTGAATTTCTAGTGCCTGGGGACATGGGTCGGTGCTTAATACATATTCTAGAATAAGTCAAGGGAATGGTTTCTGAGGCAGGAGGAAAAAAGCCACAAAGGAGATCTATCCTGTGCACTCTCTGTTGTCCACCTTAGCAAACACAGCTCTGTGGGGCTAGATGCCACACACACGGGGCTGAGTTCTC